GATAATGAAATATAAGACTAGGTGGATACATGGTTATGAGATAAAATATGTAATAATAGGAAATATGATGAAAGTGAGTTTATAAGAAGTGATATGAACTAGGTAAACATGGGTAACAGTATATGCATAATGGAAACATGAGTTGGACAAGTACCTAGTGGTATGATTTATTATGAGAATTAGTATAATGGAGCTATATGAAAAGATTATAATGAATATATGAAATTGAATTAAGTAAAGAGATTAAATTAGTACCTAAATAAAAATACTATTAAATGATATATGTTTAGAAATACGGCATAATTTATAATCTAAGGGAATACAAAGAAATAGAGCATAAGGTAGATAATATGATATCCGTTATTATATATCTATATGATATATGTCATCAGGTAATATGAAAGAACTCTGAAAATTGATATAAGCTAGGAGAAAGTGTTTTATGTGTTATATGAAGCATATATGATCATATGTGAACAAGATATGATATGTATGTTTATATGAATATCTGAGAAATGATCTAAGCTATATGATATGATATGTGTGATTATGTGCACTTTGTGATATATGTTATATGATATGGATCTATGTAACTACGTGAGAAAGTATATAAGCTATGTGACATGTAAATGTGACTCATATGAAAAATGTTCTATGAGTAATTGAACTATGTGTTATGTGAAATGATAAGTATAAAAGAAAATGCCCATGTTATGTGTCTTGAGAGCTAGGGGTATAGTTGGCATGCCAAGAGTAGAGGGTCTACGCGGTCCTTCGGGACAATATTCTACGCGGTCCTTCGGGATATATATATATTCTTTGGAACATGTGTGAAGTCTAGTGAGACACATATATGATCCCTAGCATATGTATATGATTCTTAAGGAATTCTATGTGGTCCTTATGGACATCATTATATGGCACTACAGTGCAATTCTACGCGGCACTTCGGTGCATTTATACGAGCTGTGGTGACAGCATAGTGCACAACCTCACAATACTCAGATACCTTAGGTTCTCAATATGATATCATGGGCCAATAAACTCATTGATACAAATTCATGAATGTTAAAGTAATATGCTTACAGGTATGGATATTGGTGATATGAGAACAATGTATGATATATATATATATATGTATATGATTTGTGATATGATGTGTGCATGATATGATATATGTGTGATAGGGGTTATGGTATATGTTACATAATATGCATGAATATATGTTGATGTATATGTAAATGAGTTGTATAATTTGATAGCATAAAACAGTCATGCATGATTAGTGGGTATGAATTCCATTAGATGTGTTTTCTTTATGCCTCACTAAGTCTTCGACTTAGCTTGTGATTGTTTCACACGTAGGTTTCGAGAAGAGTAAAGAGTAATGCGGAGCAAGACAGGTCAGTTCTCCTTACCAAATGTCAGATCAGAAAATATATGTACTGTTTATAGAGTGTAGTTGGCATGTAGTCTAAAGATATAAATTGTATGAACTCTGATATATTTTGTAAACGTTTTGAATAAGTAAATGTTATCACAGTTTTTAAATTACTCACTATTTTATACGAATAAATGTTTGAAAAGTCAATGTGACACTTCGGACTCGTATCCGGGTCGGATACGGGTTGGGGGTGTTACATAATATAACCGGCCTTAAGGCCATTTTTCTCATTTCTTTCTTTCTCATTCTCTCTCTAATAGAGAGAAATTTTGGCCGGTCGCCATTCCGGCGCCGCGGTGACCGGAAATTCCCAAATTTCCCTAAAATAAAGATCCCAACACCTAAAGGCCGAATCCGACCTCATTTTTTTCCTAAATCCCCTTAGATCGACGTAGATCTAAGGTTATTTACCTTCAATGTTTAGCTTCCTCGGTGGTAAGTCTCCTTCTTTCTTCTCTTTTGCTGTGGATTTTGCTTGTTGTTCTCCCTTGGTTGTTTTGCTCTTCTCTTTTTTCTTTGCAGATGGTCGACTTTTATAAGCCTCGTCGGTGTCTTCTTCGGACCAGTCTCATGAGTGAAGTTCGGTGAGTCACCAAACTATGTGGTGACTCACCATAAAGCTTCGACGTGTGGAGTGGCAGCTGGCCTTTGGAATCTTCGGCGAGGCGTCGTGGCAACGATGGAGCGTCGGCAACAGCTGGTTGGGTCATCTGGCAGTGGAAGCGTCGGCAGTGGCGACTGTTCATCTTTAATCCCAGCTACGGCGGCGGCTGGAGATAGGGTGGGTTAGAAATCCTAGTAGAAACCCTAAATGAATTTAGGGTTTCTATCTAGTTTGGGTTTGGGCTCCGGGATTTGTAAAACGAGCCTCGGTTTGGGCCTAAATTTTTTATTTAATAATAATTATTATTATAATAAAAAATTAAAAATTAAAAAATTAAAAATAAAATGAAAAAAATAGTGTTTACACTGCCCAATGGTACATCTGTGTATGCCTCTTTCCAGTACGAGAAGCTGCATCGATTTTGCTTCTTATGCCAAAAATTGGGGCATGGTGAAAAGTTTTGTCCCCATCGAATCTTGAAGGAGAATAAGGATTTGATCCCTTAGTGGGATATCGCGATTCGAGCCCCGAACCTGAAACACAGGATCCAGACTAGCCCATGGTTACGTGACGAATGCGAAGGTGTTGAGAATATGACCTTAAACATTTGGCGTGATATGAATTATGATTGGAATGTTTGTGATTTATCGTTGGACCTAGTGGGACGATTGCACTGGTTATTTGAACATACATCGCATCACATGCACACCGAAATACTGATAATAATCTGAGCACTTTGGTATATGAGTTTAAGGTAAGAGTTCAAGGAAGGAGGATATCCTCACCTTGATTCGAGCTCAGTGCAGTGATTTTATTGCTGCTAACGTCAGAAACTCGACTTCCTTGATTTCTCTATAGGTCCATTAGCAGGTTCCACCTCCCACTTTTGTAAAAGCAAATTTTGATTCTCGATTTTTGCATGCACAACAACAGGCGTGGTCAGGGGTTGTAATTTGTGATGAAAATGGATTCAGTTTAGGGGCTTGTCGAAAATGGCGCCTGCATGTCAAATCTGCTTTCATGGCTGAAGCAAAAGCAGCTGTGGATGCAATCACTTTGGCTCTTGAGTTAGGTTTTTCGCGTGTAGTTGTGGAAGGCGATTCAAAGTCTGTCATCCAAAAAATGGTTTGTAATGAACCAGATTATTCAGAAATTAGCGCCCTGGTCTGGGAGTTGAAGAACATAAGGACTCTTTGTCATGCATGTGAGTTTAGAGTTGTACCTCATTCTGCTAATGAAGTGGCACACATCCTAGCTGCTGCAAATGAGTTTGGAAACTCCGACGTTTACTGGGTTGAAGAAGCTCCTCAGCAAGTTGAGAATCAAGCGGCGTTGGAGCGTAGATGTTTTGACCCACCCTGATCGTGTTCTTTGGTGGGATTGTTGTTCTCTGCAGGCTTCTGTGTTTTCTTTTCCCCTTGCTTCTCCTCTTTTCGGGGGTCTCTCTCTAGTTAAGCAAGGAAGTGAATAGCCGGTTTGCCTCGTGGTTTTGCCTTTCCTTTCATTTAGAGAAAATAATTTCAGTGACCAAAAATCTCAGATAATATACGATTTTGATCAATTTTTTTTTAGATTTGCGAAAATGACCAATAAAATCGCAATGCGATCTCTAATTCGCATTGCGATCTCCACTATCGCAAATTCGCGTTGCATTTCGCGTTGCGATAATTGAAAATCGCGTTGCGATTTTCCAGTTCGCGTTGCGATAGTCTACAGTTGTCGTTGCGATTTTTCAAATTCGTTGCGAAAATCGCGTTACGATTTTCCATTTCGCGTTGCGATTTTCCAGTTCGCGTTGCGATAGTTGAAAATCGCGTTACGATAGTTGAAAATCGCGTTGCGATTTTCCATTTCGCGTTGCGATTTTCCAGTTCGCGTTGCGATAGTTGAAAATCGCGTTGCGATAGTCTACAGTTGTCGTTGTGATTTTCCAAATTCGTTGCGATTTTACATTGTAGACTATCGCAACGAATTTAGAAAATCGTAACGCGATTTTCAACTATCGCAACGCGAAATGCAACGCGAATTTGTGATAGTGGAGATCGCAATGCGAATTAGAGATCGCATTGCGATTTTGTTGGTCATTTTCGTAAATCCAAAAAAAATTGATCAAAATCGTATATTATCTGAGATTTTTGGTCACTGAAATTATTTTCTCTTTCATTTATGTTGTTGTTTGCTTTAGTTTCTCCGCCAGCTGTTTCGGCGTTTTGCTTTATTTTCCTCATCGTTGCGTTGGGCTTTGTTCCTTTAATAAATGATGACTGGCTTTTCTTGTTTCAGAAAAATATTAATTTTGATCGTAATTTTTTTCATCAAATCTGACAAATTAATAAAAATATTTTTGAAAATTTTAAATTTTAAAAGTATACAATACAAATTTAGAAAGATTTTTAGGGATTTAAATTTAGTTTGAAGGTAAAAATTTTGAAGAAACTAAGATAAAAATATAATTTAAAAGGCCTAGATCTAACCCAACTACCTAAGAAAAATCCTGGGTCGAATACCCCGCCCAGTCGGATAATCTTTTTTAGAAAACTACCCGATCTTTTAGTGTTTAAGTCGATAGGTCAACGAGTCGGATAATTTTGAATACACCTAATCAAGGTCGAGATACTGTGGTGGAGTTGAATATTATTCGAGCCAAAAACGATATATTAAGAAAGAATGTAGTAGAAGTGAAAGACACTGTAAAGATATAAAAACCCCATTGATATTCTCTTGAAGACTTTGCAAAAGAGTGATGAGAAATGAAAGTCTCTATTCATCAATGGATGCTACATCATAATCCACAAGGATGGCTTATGAGCTTATTCGACCATCACCGAGCACTGTAAGGCATCGATAGCCTGAACTAGACGCCGAGACGATCTGTATAGGCCAGTTAAAGTAATGCAGGAACTCAAGGTGCAAACTGGTCAAATACTTGCTTTTCTATTTATTTATCAGTAGTGTAACATTGTCTTAGCACTTCAATTTTCAAAATTCTAACAATTTCACTTCATTATCGTTATGGCTTCCTCCTTGTCCTTCCAGTTCAGAAGACTTCAGTTGCTCGCATGCCTTAGGCGGAGTGCAGACGATATTTCTGAGAATTGAAGAATGGAAATCAAATTCTATCTTTAATTTGGTGCAGCATGCTTCAATCCACTTCTCAGCCACACTGGTTGATACACTGTCTTGGTTATCCCTCTCGTGCTCTTCGATTGCCGGCCTTATTTCATTATACAAAGAAGCAAGCTGGGAAGCTGCTTCATTCTTCATTTCCTGCAATACATGTCCAGAAGCCCCCAATATAAGCTTTTAACAAGTTTTTGTTTTTTTTGGGGGTCTAAACATTCAAGCTAAATATGAAGTTTCAGATGCATGAGGTTGATGTAAGAATTCGATTTCATGTTTCAATCCGACAGGATATGATCTTGCAGAAATTGTATTCACAAATCATAGTTCTCATCGTGTTTTCGGAGATGGATGCTCTATGCCTTGCCCTCTAAAGCATGAACTAGAGAATTGGTATTCAGTGTATAGTAAGTTATTTAAACTAAAGGCAGCTCATGTGCCCCATAAATCTAAAAGAAACAGAGTACCTACATGAAGCATCTATCACTAACATAATACTGATCAAATCCGAAAAAGGTTGAGAGCAATGCATGTCGGTAGAATTACCGAGACACAAGGGTTCGACAATTTATAAATAAAATAGTTTGCGATATTTGCACTACCAAACAATTCAAGTTTTAGCTCCCCTCCCAAGATATCCTATAGATCAATTTGTGGTTGTTTGTTGCTTTTACCTTTCAAATCAAACATAATAAGATTAGCAAAGGAAAAATTATCTAAAAGTTATTATCAGAAACTAGGAAGTCATATAGATTAAATCCAACACAAAATCATACATTCATTGAATTACACATAATCTCCCCCCCCCTAAAAAAAACGAACTAGATATAAACAAAAAAGAAAAACATTTGAGTTTAAGCATCCAAATGCATATTTAATATGACAACTAAAGTTCCGAACATGATGTTGGAACTTTTAACACACCCAAGATGAAAGATGCAACAAAATACCAGTCTAATCAAGTATGTATTGTATTTTAAACCAGCAATGTGACTATTCAAATGTCATTGGGAATGATTTTTGCTACCATCTGCCCAAATTTAATTCAGAGCTTCCCATGCCCAAAAATGGGCTTGTGTCCTAATGTAGTAATCATTAACCTCGAGATGACCTATGATAGGATGCAAAGGGCTACCAAATCAAGTTAACAGGAAAATAGGCAATCATACCTCATATCGGAAGACCTCCTCTTGTCCTTTTGATGCCAAGAGTTTAGCAAGATGTTTTATATCAACTGGTTTCTTTGAAAGATTTTTCGACTTTCCATTAGAATAATGCTGTGACTTTTTCTTAATCATGGGCCCTGATCTGATGTGATAGTTCCGGCATGCACTGTTACTACGGATGCGAGAAATCATTGCATTCTTTTGAGAAAAAGCCGGCTGAGCATCTTGAGAATACAAGTTCACATCTTTAGTTGGTTCAGTTTTCACTGTATTCACAATTACCCCTTCTATAGGAACCGTATCAACAGTAGACTCCAACTGGTGCTCAGATTTCATACTAACATCCATTATTATGGGCTGTCCACTTTTAACATTAACATCATCCTCAGAACTCAAGTTTACAGCTTTCAGGAGCTTTGTGGCAGGCTCATCTTCAGCAGAATCATACAACGGGATTTTTTCAACTGAATACCTGCCAAGAGAGCATATTTAGGTTAACATAATAACAAAATATATACTATCGGAAACTCATTACAATTTCATATGTGAAAAGGGTTATAGCACAAAGATATTGATAAGAACAAAAAAAGGGTGGCAGCATCAAGTCGGAGAGAGAAAAATAGATATAAAAACTTTTCCATAAGTCTTTAAGATGGTACATTTAAACTTCAAATAAAATTTTCAAACAGAAGTCCAGACGGGCTGTAAAGCATGAGCATTCCATAAATTCAAGCAACTAGACCAAGTATGGTTAAACCTCGATAGGAAACAGCAATACATTATGCGTAACACTTCACACAAGTTTATATGAAATACTCTATGCAGATCAGATAGAATCTCTTGTATATAAATATAGCCAGTAGATTCCATTTCTTTAAATGCAAGGGGAGGTCATGGAATGATTAAAGTGACTACAAATGCAAAATAAAAATATAGATAAAACAGAAAAAATGACTAATGATGGAAATTTTAAGATGAACAAATAGTGTGGTATAGGGGAAAATAACAATAAATCAATAGAATTTGGCTGGAACAAACGAGTACGAAAGATGGAAATCTTGAAAATTTGGGTGTAAAAACCTCTAGCTTCTATCTATTAATTAAAGAAAACAATAAATTGTGTGATACAGCTCCACCCTTACGCGTCTACGCTAGAAGGAAGAAGAGATCTCGTGACATGGCAAGTTACAGCAATGAGGGTGACCTGGACTGGTCCATGTGCAGTCATCTTTTTGGATTTCATGACGTGTTCTTTCAGCTTGATGGAATTGTGGATCCCCCTCTGCAGGAAGTTGAAGATCATCCCTCAGAGGCTTATTGAACACCTCGATTTTTAGTAGATAAGTTGGAATAATACATGGTATATAAAGCCCAGTAGTTTGTTATTTTGAATCATCTCAAGCCCTAAAGACAACTAATAACCCTAGCCGTCCACAATTTATCTAATACCTAATAAATGAATCTGGAATAACAAAATATTATAAAATAATAAAAGTTCCCACATCATTCTCCCCAGCTTGAAAATCTCAATTCCAATGAGATGTTTCACCGCATCAACATAAACATCTAGATCATGAACACTAAAATCACTCAGGGAGCACGTTACTGTCTTAGGGATATCTACATCAATTTTGCGCACATCAAGAACATTATCCTTCTTATCTAAAGTAAAAGTCTCAAAGATTGGAGTTGTATTTTCCACCAAAGAACTAGCTCCAAGATTGTTCGAGTGTTCTGAAGCTTTGGAACCTTTAAGAAACAATGGATGCTGTAAAACACCTTGTAATTATAGAAAGCATTCTGAAGTGTTAAAAGATGTGCCACTCAAACAAACAGCACATCGATCAGAAACCACTATTTTTGTAGGAATATCATTAAGGGCAACACTTATATGTTTCTATACTCTACCTACCTCGCTCATGATCCGCATGCATGTGTTAGGCGTTTCTAACCTTTCATAAAGGTCACGAGCCTTAAAAGTTTCCTTCCTATCATCAGTGCTTCTCAACTTAATTTGATGAAGATCACTCTACGAATCAATGTTCAAAAACACCATAAAATCACCCAATTTGATAAAGAATGTGATTCAACCACGGTGTCTCCACTGTGCTTTATCATCTAGTTGAGGTCATTCTTTAAGAATGTTTCCATCTCTTGGATTTGATGTTGGGTATGGTGATGGTAATGTTTTTCCTTAGAGCAGACTAGGACCTTAGTCACCAGCTATATGCATCAATCACAATGCTAGACTCCTCTTCACCACCATTGGTCGTTATCATTAGAACAATCAAGGACTCTCCTGAATTGGATATACATCTTTACATACTTTCAAATGCTCATTATAAACATGTTATATCATACTATTGCTCTTCCACGTACATCTTTGTTAAGAAAATCAACTTTAATTTCAGTTTCATCCCTTTTTAATTCAAGGCCAGGCACCAACTGCTCCTTTAATCCACCTTGTACCACATGGTTTATGGGTCTATCATGAAAGGGATTTTCTTCCTCACCAAAATTTAGTAAGAATAACTTTCGGTATGTTAAAATGGTTGTGGAAACCGTTCAGAATTTGCAACTGAGTTCCCACTTGGTTGTGTCACAACAAATCATAAATTGCACACAAAAATTTCTTCAACCTCACATTGCATCGCAATCTTGACCTTGATTTTCCCTCCTTCGACCAATTACACATCCATTCATAGCTTAAAAGCAAACCCTAATATAAACCCCAGGATCTAATTTGGTTTTGATGCCAAATTTGGTGTGGTTTAAGGGAAAACAAAAGAAAATCGATAAAATAGGCTGAAACAAACAAGTGGCAAAGTGAAGCCCTGGAAAACTTAGTATTTTCTTTGTATTAATGAAAGAAAATAATAAGAAAATTGTGGTTGAAAATATTTTACAACATATTCATTATAGGCTTTCTTGCAAAATAAAGTTTCAATCCTAACCCTAGATTTAAACTTTAAAGATAACTGATAATCCTAGCTGTTCATACTTCATAGTATACCTAATACTTGATAAATAAATCTGAAATAATAAAATATTTAAAAGCTCATGTGTCAACCAAAATCGCATTAAAAAATAATGAAGATATATAACCGCTCATCATCGTCTTCCCATACATAGGTATCCTCCTGTTGAAAAGTTTTGCAAGAAATTCTTAAATTACATGAATAAAAAAGCACCAACACAAAGATATACAATCAGATATTCGAGGGAAGGGGAATATAGCAAACAAAACCAAGAAGATACAAGTTGTAGCTGGAAGCCAATAAAAACACAATGTAATATTAAACTAGAAAAAAGATATATCCATTTGAAAAGGAGATATATGAGTGCAATGGTTTTCAAATAAGTAAAAAACACCAATTATGAACATTTTTTTTGAGGATGCAAATCATGATCAAGATTGATTGTTTAAATATATGCAAGAGAAAAGGACAAAACCTTGAGGACATTTTACGAGTGAATTCTTGAGATTTCTAAAACAATTTTGCAAATTGCTTTAACAAACATAACCAAATGTTTTATCCCTCCAAATCATGGTCTGAACTACAATAAATATTCCAAATTGGAGGGACTGATCAAACTAGTAAACAATGAAAATAAAGGAGTGCAATGTTTAGAAAGACATCAGTACAACATAAAGATGAAAACTACTTATAAATTGGCAGCACAATCTGACAATTGAGGCTAATGGATTAAGCATCCATCTCTCTCAGCTATTTCATTATAATACATTCCAAATCCAACCTAAATATTGTGAAGATTACCATTCCAAAAAAAAAAGTTAAAGGGGCCTTAAAAAATGAGAATTAATACCCCAAACACAGAGAAAATCAAGCATAGTAGGATACTACAGAGTCGTGACCAAGGGAACTGAATCAACAAATGGATAATACCATGAGCTATATATTTCTAAAAGATCATGACAAAAAACATTTCACTTCAAATGATATTTTTTTTAAGCAGAACATACATGCTCACATAAATTCTAATTTGATGCACTTAAACATTTACCTGAAAGCCACGAGACTTTGCTCCAAGAAATCCTGAACAGTTGAGTGCACCACAAAGACAACGAACTTTTGCACCACCATACCATTCAAAGTTATAATCATATGCAAGTTCACCTCCAATAGGAATATCTTCTTTTGCAAATATTCCAACTCGTATTTCTCCCAAAACAGTCCACTTCCTAGTCTCACAATTTGGTTGGCTGAAAGACAAAATAATTCAACCAATGTAATTTTGGAAAAACATGGCCAGAACGATATTAAACTTAAGGAGACTAAAAGCTGAAAACTTAATGCATAAGTAGCTCACCATGAGTGGTTGATGAATCTAGCAAGGCTTCCCTTTTTAGTGGCATCAATGGATTCAGAGCCATTCAGAGAAATAATAAATGCATCCTTAAGACCTGCATCAAAGGAAGAAGGTTGCAAGTCCTTTCTATTTTTTTCATAAAAAGCAACAATTCTAACGAAATTCTAGTTCACCTTGATTTTCATAAGCTTGAGACCTTCTCTTTGCTTCTTTCCAAGATATTACTTCGCCACAATACTCGATAATAAATTGTCCAGCCTGCTCAATGCAAATGTAGATCAGCATGTTAAAAGCAGGCATTGAAACAAAAAATTATCGAACAAGAAATAATTGATGCCAAATTGCAAGATTGATCCCAAAATTTAATACTGGATATTGGTTGCCAACTGTTACCTTTATATATTCAGCAGCAAGCAGACCCCAACCACGGCCCTCTGTTTTAAACAGTGAAACTCTAGCATATTGGCATTTCTGAAATTTCTTTTAGAATGGAATATAAAACATTAATAGAAATGTATTAGTCTCTTACCCAAAAAAATGCATGTCTCTCATAATAATTAATCAGTATCTTCAAGCAAAATAAAAAAAAATTTAATGGCATAGTTCTTTCCTAATAGTTAAGAAGGGAAGCCCAAATATTTCTAAAGCATTCTAGGAATAATAGTTCTACACCTCTCACCATTTAACTTCATGATCCATATTTGCAAGTTAGTGATGTTTCTAAATATAACAGCCCATTACAACTTACAAGCAAGCAAATGAAATTAAATGGATTACGTTTCTCTTCATTAATGGAAGACTTATTGTGTATATCTAGCTGAAGAGAAGTTGAGTAGAAAACGTAGGTTCTACTTAAATAAATATCAGACCCTGTTTTACATTTGAATGGCCCAGGGAACCAGGAAGCAACGAAATAAAATTGAAATGACTCAAGGATAAGTTGAAATGGCATGTAAAGATGATTAAATAAATTGCAAACAGCATCTAATCAAATGTCAAGCACAATTGGACCAAATAAACTAGATGCCGTAAGTAATTACTTCCCTCTAGAGTCAAATATTTAGTTCTACATAACATACTAAAAGCTGACACCCAATCAAAGGAACATAAAGACAGGAAAAAAAAAAGACCAAACAGACTTATATTAAGGATTCACAGAGACATTCTAAAAGTAATGGAGTTAATCACTAGACATGCCACGCATGAACCTACATAGGAAGATGCACATAGAACAAGGACATGCACATAACCTCAAACATAATTAATACCCATACCCCAAGTGACCTAGCCCTTCTTGAAGCACACTCATGTTAGATATAATATTTACCTGATTCTTGCAGTAAACACCACAAGGACAATAACCGGGTGTACATTCTGTGCTTGTTAGTACATTCAAGCACCTCTCTCCACATGTACTATCAGGATCGCTGAAGTCAAATTTGCACTCACATATAGCAATATCCTCCTCTTTTTGCTTTTTATGTCTGCAAAATAATGCAATTTGGATAACAATTAAGCCATCCTAGTGTAAATGCAAGCAGTCCAGGAAAAATGCATAAAGCAGCATTTCAAAGAATCGAAATCGAAAATATCCAAGCAGCTATGAAAATATGAGGTTACTTTTAAAAATATTATGATACAAAAATATCTTACTTTCTATATGAGAATTCGTTTTGAAAAATGTGCTCATATTGAGGAAGGTCTTCATTCTCAGGATCCTTCAATCAGAACAATAATATGAAATGGTCAAAGAATTTCTAAAAAAAAAACAGCATCTCTAGGGGAAAAATAGAAGAGCAATAAAGATGATAACAAAAATAATAATAAATACCATTGACGAATATATCTAAGACAAATCACCAGATTTCCTCATACCAATAAGCAAGCTTCAAAGAAAAAACAATATGAACCTCTGCAAAAAAAAAAGAAGACGAAGAAGTTTACGACCGAAATTCGGAAGCAATCACCCAAAATGTGAATTGAATTGGCTAGGGTTTATCGGTTCAAGAAGCAGAAGAAAACAATGGAATTTGCACACCTGTTTTTTACTTGTTTTCTCTAGGTTTTCCTTCGACGCCGTAACCAAATTTGCACAATCAAGAATCAAACTGTATGAATAGAATTTGTTTTTGGATAAGCTACAAGTTTAGTACCCAAACTATCACTTTTATTCCATTTTATTCATCTAATTATTTTTTTGTTTAATCATGCATAATGTCACGGGCCGTGAGGTTCTAAGTAGGGATGGCAAACAGATACAATTTCGTAGATTCTGTACCGTACCCGCTTTAATTGAGGCGAGATGAGTATAACTTTGGTGGGTAGTGGGCGGGTGATGGGTTTGAGACCTTACCCATCTCGCATCCGTCCGCCCACTAAATACCTATTAAATTTTGGATCATTATGAATTTAGGTATAATTTTAGAGACTAATTTATAAATATTAATATTGTATAAAATATATGTTGTCAGGCGGGTCTAGCCGGGTACATCTCTAATTGGATAGTAGACATGGGGATAGATTTGAGAATGTACTCGCGTGGGCGGGTGTGAAATATTAGGTGGGGATGGGGATGGGGATGGAGGAGGGGGTATTCGCACCCGACCCGCTCGTTTACCATCCCTAATTCAAGGGCGTGCCAATAACATTATATTTTAATTTCATTTTAGTCACCATTAAAAATTAATAAGTTGTGTCGATGTGTTACTATAAGATAATGTCACGCTATTATTTATTTTATTTATAAAATGTCACGTTTGTAGTTTTGTTATTTTTTTTAAAAAAATAATTAAAATATAATCAAAATACAATATTAAATTTAAATTTAAAAATCATAATAATCATGTGATCAAAATAGAATAAAATCACTAAAAGTGTAGTTTTATCTTTTGATATTTTACATTAAATATGAATACGAGTAGGCTTCAACTACAGTTGCGGGCCATTTTATTTCAGTGGACCAATCAACAGATGCGAAATTCAACAGAAAGAAAGAGCTTTAGCTTAAATTGAATTGTCTTTTCAGCTCAGTTGGTATAGCGCAAGACTCTTAATCTTGTGATCGTGAGATCGAGTCTCACGATAGACAATTCATAATTCTGACTGTCGGGGGTCTTCCACGGAAGCTGTTGGGGGCAGTCTACTATCCTACCTCTCTCTTACCCCACTACATATGGAAATAGGGTCAGTTAATTTTAGATGTATTTTCATAAAATCAATCAAGTCCCTATTTTTTGTGTATCTAACTTAATCTTTCGCCTAATAAATTTTAAGATAAATTATGCATTTAGTACTTAAATTATCAGTTTAAGTCTGTTTTATTCCCTAAACATTCATTCTTTTCAAAACTATACCTAACGTTTAGTTTTTTTTCATTTTAGTTATCCGCCTTTAAAAACTTAACGCATTTAGTACTTAAATTATCAGTTTTGACCCGTTTTAGTACTTAAGTTTTTGTTTCATTTTAGTACCCCATTCAAAATTTAACGTTAAGTTTTAATTTTTTTTAAAGTTTAAGTACTAAAATATATCAAAATTGATAGTTTAAGTATTAAAATATATCAAAATTGATAGTTTAAGTACTAAATATATAATTTACCCTAAAATTTATCAAATCTCTCGATAGAAATAATTATTAACAGCTAATCTTATCGATATGGTAGTTAATAGATGACGTCATTAATTTTATACATATATGAATAATTTTGCACACGTGATATTTTATTTTATGTTCTATGTCAACAAATAATTTAAATATTAAAAAAATAAACTAAATTTTGCACACGTGATATTTTATTTCATGTTCTATGTCAACAAATAATTTAAATATTAAAAATAAAATAAAAAACTAAATTTTATAAAAACTTGAAGATATTTTTAGAAATTTGATATTAATAGAATTGCTAATTATATATTGGGAGTGTTTGGTAAACAACTTTTTGAAGAATTTTTTTAATTTTTTTGAGTACAAATAGTTGATTGGTAGTCAAACCCTTCACTTTTAGTATTTGGTAAACACTCGCTTATTGTGCAAAAATAAGTTGAAAATGAAAAAGCTGAAAAACCCAGTGATTAGGAGAGCTGATTGCAAAATAAGATGTTAAATGACATATTTAACCTTTTTATTTCCATAATTACATCTTTGTCAGAAAACATAATCTAATGAAATAACCTCTATCCTAATATATTTTAGTGAAATTTTATTTTATTATTCTATTTTTTAGTTATAGATTTTCAAATATATTTTAGTTAATAAAATATAGCAAAACATGAAAGTAGGAAAAAATGTAGTGTTGATATTTTATTCAAGATTAATAGTATGTATCAATCTCACAAGGTTAATATTTGTAAATATTAAATTTAAAAAATATATTCAAAATTTTCAAAAATATTCACTAATTTCCTTAAGGATTTTTTTTAATTCCTTGTCAAAAGCATTTTATCCAAATAATTTCGTCTCCAATAAAGACTAAAGTATTATAAAACATATATGTATTTAACAGCTAAATGCATCATACTCTTATTTGTCATTTTACCTATATTAGTTATCAGTTATTAGCTAAATTTTACCAAACGCTTTTATACAAATAGTTAATCAAATCAGCTAATAAATCAGTTGATCGAACTAGTTATTAGAGTCTGCTATCAATTATCATTTGTTTACCAAATAACCCAATTTTGTTATAAATAGTGAATACCTAATTGCATTCAAGTTCTGAAGATATGGAAAGTGAAATGTTTTTTGCATATTCAATAATAAGTGGTCTTCATTTATTTATTTATTTGCCCTCTAGTTCTATGGTTTTTAATTCCAAGATATCAGTCTGACTAATCTATTATAAGATTTCATCTTGACTAATTTAGATCGACCTGAGTCATACACCTAATTTTAGTGGATGAATCGTTCAACAAGAATTTTTTATATACACAATGACTCGAACCTAAAACATTGATTAAGCAATATCAAACCTTGATTTCCTAGATTTCAAACTGTTTACCACTTGAATAAAACATCGCTACTTTATTAGTAGCTATTATTTTAATAACTATATCAACATTGCTATTATGGAGAGATAAAAATACAGAATAACCAAATAATTTTAAGAGGAAAAACACATTTTTATTAAATGATCCAATCATAAAAAATTCTCTACCCAACAGTCTTCACTTTTTCCTATAGAAAATTCTGAACAATTCAAGAGAAACATACACATAAATCTCCAACATATTTTCCAGGAATAGCTTTAGACTAAAACCTCGATGGATGGATATACTGCTACAGAGAATATGTCATAGGCCAAGACTCGACTTGCAGTGCAAGCAACTGACCATAGCATATTCGAATAATCCGAACTGTGACTCGAGACATCATGTCTCAGTACAGACCTTCGGAAGTTTCTTTTGGGCTCGAAATCTCCATGTCCTTGGTGCATCCATTGTTTAGAGATGCTTCTGCCGGAGTATTGATCATACTCTGATTCCTGCAGATTTCTTCTGCGGCTGGTTGACAGTCACTTTTGTCAGCCAATGAACAATCAGTGGTACTATCATTGGCATTTAGGCATTCTTCAACCAGGTTCGATTCTGCATTAACTTGATGATCTTCAACTGATTTCTCATTAGGATGCTCAGCAACTGCCTCAAGATTCTTGGACTCAGATTCCAGATTTGATGCAGCTGCTTTTTGTTCTTTAACTCCCTCACCTGGTTCATTTTCCAAAATGTGTGCTCTATTTTCTCGCACGTGCTCGACAGGCAAACTGTTCGACACAGAACTCATGGTATCTACAGCTGCTTCCGGCTCTTCCTTTGAGAGACCTTCAACAGTTGGACTAGCAGCGATGCCATTACACTGCTGAGTCGACAAATTTAATGATGAGGGAGGAGTATGCTCAGCTCTTTGAGCTGCAGATTTCGCTGAAACAGGATGCGAGGTCGAAGATTGCACATTAGAATGCACCTCCAAATGAAAAGAGGGACCACTGGGTATGACAGGTTTAACCGAAGAGCCACCTGAAGTGCTTATATGAATAGCATTTTTAGACTGGGCAGCCTTAAGCAGGGACGCAGCAGCCTCTGGGCTACCAATACGGGCTCCAGCAGCAACAGCAGTGGCATCTAGGATTGAACCTCTACTGGAAAAATATGATGGTGGGTTCTTCAAGCACACCCAAGATTTTAAAGTAGAACCTGATGATCCCTGGGGAGAGGATTTCATAGTCATGGGACCTTCTTGAGACAGGTTTGGGACTTGGACTGAAGCAACAGGAATTTGCTGAGACGGATTCTTGGCAGGGACAGATGCAACTGGAACTTTTTGAGGCTCATTATGGGACGGGATGGAATAACCGGAGCTTTTTGAGGTTGATTATGGGACAAGACAGAAGTGATTGAACCTTGTTGGGAATGATTTGAGATTGGGCAGAAGCAATGGGACCTTGTTGGAGCTGGCTTTGCAGTTGAACCGAAGCTTCAACACCAGTAGTTGGAAGTGCAGAGGTACTGGATGTGATCTTCAAACCTGGCTCAGAAGCAACGATGTTAGTCTATTAGAAAGAGAACAATAGGCCTTCTTTATTCAAAGAAAAAAACTGGAAGGATAAAAAGAAGGTTCCCATAATTTCATCTCTTAAAGAATGTCCTCACATCAAACACTTCAAATGAACTAAAAATAGCATTAGATGAAGAAGATTACCAGGGTTATTTGTACAAGCTGCTGTTAAGTTTTTATCAGGCATATCAAGGGCCAAGGACAAAGCACTTCGCGTTGCCAACTGTGCCTCGGAAAGTTGGGGAACAGTGGAGTTTCCTTCCACATTTAAGTTACCAGCTCGCTTCTTAATAATAGTCCATCTCTGCAAATAGTAGAACTTATCATAATTAGCAGAAGAAGAAAACAGAAACAAATAGTCTAGTAGCTTCAGTTGCACGATACTACTATAGCCATCCAATCAGGTTTCAAAGAATTGGTCAAAAATTAAAAAATATACACAGTTGCAACAATTCCGTTGCCGGGATTTGAACCCGGGATAAACTGGGCAAAACCCAGGCATCATGACCGGACTAGATGACAACGGATTTGTTACAGACCAAATCTACATTAGGAACGACCCTTGGTTTGGGTTATTTAATCAAGGCTTAGGTTATGTTTTATTTCTTTCCACAAGTTTACTGATTATGTTTTCTATTTCAGTTGATTTATTTTCCTTTTAGGAATAGCTTTCCTCTTTACGTAAAGAGTTGGGTCCTTATTTAAAAGGACAGGTGAAATGATAAAACCCTAAGTCAGAATTTTATTAAAAGATCACTAAAAAGATCTTGTTCTCTCTTTTAATGAGTCTAAGGTTTCAATCTACCCTCCGGTGAGCTGAATCATTAATCCGAAGCACAAGATCACTAACATTGAGTATTCAGAGCCAACGGTCCTTGGCAATGGCAGAACAGTACAGAACAATAGGTCGAAATATGCAAGAAGATACATCATACAATTATGTCGCAGCAAATTGCTGAAGTCAAAAACTCAATCATCCCAACTGTTACATCACCTGCATGGAGTAACTGACTAACTGCTGCTAAACAGGTCAGTGACTCCATGGCTGATACAAAGGAAGACCCTTTATCTGAAGAAACCAAACCATCGATGACAACCTCTACTAATGTCCTTCCCTTGTCCCATGCATCAAGCCCTTCTAAATCCATCACCAACTTCTCATCCTTGTCTTATTCATCAACCATTCCTAAAATCATTTCTGATAATCAGACATTTTCTTTATACCCAATCCAAAAACTCTTCAATGCCATATCGAAGAAGTTTAATTGGTCCAACCTTTCTAAGTTATTTTTTAAAAATATTGAATGCAGGTGAGAAGCTTATGGAGATAATTTTAAATGCAGATAACAATCTTGAAGATTTTTATTCGATGGTGCTAACAAGTGAGAATAAATTTGTAGAGGTGCACGACCCTTACTGATTTCAACTATTACTAATGGAATGAACCTGTCACCAAGTTTATTCTGGCTTGGAGCTAGAGGACAAGCTCTTTTTGCCAGAAAGGAGTAATGTTATGCTAAATCTATGTTAGGAAAGGTCCTTAATTTGGGTTATTAAATAAAGGCTCAGGTGCTTTCATTTCTCTCCGAAGATTTATTATGTTTTCTTATTTCACTTGATTTATATTTTCATTTTAAGAATAGCATAATGAGTCGGGTCATTATTTAAAAGGACGTATGAAATAATAAAACCCTAACTATTTTATCAAAAAAACCCTAAAAAGATATTTTCTCTTTGATAAGCTAAGAGGTTTTGATCTCCCTCCAACGAGCTGAATCATTAATCCAAAGCACAAGATTACAAGATCATAACAGGATTGTTATTCTAGAGCAACAACTAGATGGCTAAAAAGAAGGATTGATAATTTGATATAATGACCAAAGTTAACAGATATATAAAATAAATAAGTCATCTGGTTATAATTAGAAAACAACCTGAGCCAACTGTGAAGCAGTCCTATCTCCTTTGAAGTCTCCTCGCAAGATGTTTGCCCAATTTCCAACACCACATTTCTGCACAGCAGAAATAAGTTCCATATCTTCTGCTTCCGACCAAGGTTTTCTTTTCCTTCGAGCAGGTAGGTTTGCACCAGCCGATCCGTTTCCTTCCAATGTTTCAGCCGATGTCACTGCAGGAAGAATCTGTTTCTGAACAGAAACTGGAACCGTGATAGTCATCCCTCGCATTGAGCATGTGGGCTGCGAATTTTCTGAAGGTATTCTAGACGACTGCAAATTAGGTATATTTATTGTTAATGGGGCCTCTACCATTGAATTGTTTGTGAGACTTGAGTCACTTGGTAAACCAGAAGCAATCAAAACCTGACAAGAAAACCATTTCATCTTACAGGCTTGGAAAAGAAAAGCAAGCAACGAGATAAATCAGTTGTGAAACTTGAGAGAAGAGCAGGTTAACCAAAACTACGATCTGTTTGATTCCCATAAAGTTCAAATTAACTGTTCAATACTGGTCACGGGAAGCCATTAACCACACTATGTCAAAAACCATCTTCTACTAGCAACATTTCATACCACCTAGCCAGTTTAAAAGTTTGCAACGAATGGAACATTCAGAACTCAGTTATCTAACAGGTAAGAGGTACCACCAACCAGGCCAAAAATGGTTTCGGTGTTAACTATATCATTTATTATTTATAGTTTATGTGCTACCGTTACTGTTTTTCCATCCTAAAGATGTTGCATGATCATCAACCAAAAATGATAGAAGATTAAACCTTTATCGTCATTTTTTCGGTATTTATATTTATTTTACTTACCTTCACACATGCTGCAGCCTCTGCTGAAGTTTCACCACCAATAGAAGGGCAAGGTTCCAATTCATATTCTAAGTCACTGTCATCATCCTGCAAGATAAAAGGTTGATCAAATGACACTACAGCTGTAAGAACTTTGATCAACGGATGAAATACGATCATAAATTTTAATTTCCAAAGCAAAACCAGCATTTGGCAGGACATGAGTTAGAATATCAGGAAACATATACACCTCAATTAACCAAAGCTATCTCAATATACCAAAATCAAAAAAATCCAAATGGTATACTAAATTAACACTTAGCATTGCCGGCAGATAGAACAAATATACCAAACAGGGATATAATAGCGTAGCTATTGGAATAACAGCCATTATATAGCAGTAGCAATGCTGTCCGAAACCATTATTGCACGACCGCGATACTCGCAATGATCACAATAACATAACATCTGCTAGTCCGCAATCGTGATAAATGCAAAGCCAGAATATAAATCCCTGATACCAACTGTATCTAAATATACTCAAAAGATAGGCATCCAAATGGTATATTAATCTAAGGGGTATTGGTTTTTGGAAGAAGACTTTGAATTAAACCCCTAGCAATAGCATTGCTATATATATATATCAAAGGTTTAAAAGAAAAACAAAAATCTAAAAAGCTGACCAAGGGTTGAGCTCCATCATCGAATTTTTCAAGCGATGAGTGGTGGTAGGCCAAATGGCGCCATAACATCTGGTATTCCCTAGCATTAGAAATCCCAGTAGAAGTCTTCTTGACTAAAGCATTCCAATTCAGCTTTACACCTGGTTGCTGTGCCACTTCTTGCAACAGTGCCAAATAGTAGTTGCAGAATACCTGCCCAAACCAAAAAATCATAATTACAGAAAAGAACCTTAAAAAAAAATCCGAATATAGCCAAATAAATTGGGAAAAGGAGGGACCTTTGCAGGAGGTTGAGACATCTTCCTCGCTGATTGAACCCTTTTTCTGTTTCTTTGTTTTCAGTCATATTCGTTGGCAGCTGAGAAATCGCATGTCATGAATGATGGAATCAGTGGGAAAGGAGCTTTGGGACCAGTCAAACCCTAGTTGGGGTTTAAGATGAGATGAAACCCTTCCAATGGCGAGAAAGGGACAAGAAGGAGGAAGGAAAGCGTGCGGAGAAGAGTGAATGTGAAGGAGGACCGTTGAAGAGCGTGGATAGAACGCGCCAGACAGCGTTCTCGCGGAGAAGAAACGGGAATATCTCCGGTTGGAGATCCTGCCTTATTCTTTTCTTTTATTCAAATAATAAAAAAATAGAAAGAAAGGAGAAGGTTATATTAGTTGGAGAATGCCTTTCTCAGACTAGGTGAAAAAAATATATATATATATATATATATATTGATTTGGTGATTCAATCTAAAAATTAGATATTCGGTATTTTTTTTATTTTGAGTTTTTTTAATTTTGGATAACTCAAATTAAAAATATGATTAATCGGATCGGATATAGATCGAATAAATTTCAATTAGATTATTATAAATCCTAAAAAATGATCTTTTAGATTTTAAGCATCTTTAGCCCAATAAATGAGTAACACACTAACCTATTAAAACTCTAACCAATAAAAATTAAGATATTTAATTATGTATTGTGTGTGCGTAATTATATATATATATATAAATATTATATATATATATATATAGTAAAAGTATTAATAAGTCATTAAATCATAAAACTAAAATTAAATTTTGTCAAATTATATTTTAAATTCAGATTTGGATATTCGATCATAAAATTTGGATACTCAAAAGTTTGGATATCCAATTTTTTCAGATCGAATACAGATCATTATTTTAAGTATCTAAAATTTTTGGATATCCAAATTTTCGAATCGGATTAGATTCGATATTCAAATTTGCACATCCCTACTCAGGACTGGACTAAATACAAGGCGGGAGGTGGATGGACTATAATACCCTTTCTATGTTCCTACTACCTTTCTCTCATATTACTGTTAACGAGTATAATAAATTAAAATAACCTATTGGATTAAAATAAATTTATTAAAATAAATTTATTGAATTAAAACAAATTTAGGGTATGTTTGTTTCACTAGAAAATAGTTTCCGAAAAATGATTTTTAGAAAAATGAATTACATTTTTTGAAATACGATTTCCGTAAATATTTTCCACTGTTTGACAAATTTTTCTGAAATCATTTTCTAAATGTTATTTTAATGAAGCAATACAATACATTTCTTAAGCAAATGCTTATAAACAGAGATTGGGTATTCATGTCAAATTTT